GTCAGGAATAAGTAATGTACAGACTGCAGGGATCAGGAGTAAGTGATGCACAGGCCACTGTACATAATGCAGCCACAATGATCCTCTCCAGCCAGTACAAACCCCTCTCTCCAAGCCCATATCCACCTTATCCATCCTAGAGGAGATCTCACCCAGCAGTCCCAATCCACCTCCAGTAAAGATCATCCCTCACAGTCCTAAGGCCTCATTAATACAGGGCAATTTGATCTGTGCCCTGTGCAAGGCCTTGTGTACCCACACAGGGATGCACAGGTGTTTTGTACATTCCCATGTAGGTAGTCCCATTGATGTCTGCATGGAAAAAATGCTCCGGAACTCCTGTCAGGTTTTAAAGTGGAGTTCCAGCCATTTTTGTATTTACTAAAAGTCAGAAGCTACAAAAACTTAGCTGCTGACTTTTAATAACACACACTTTGCTATCTCGGGGTCCAGCGATGTACTCACCCGTGCAGTCCCTTCTCTCCTTCTGTCCTCCATGGCACCGACATCTCTACTGTGGGCGCCAGGTTGTGACAGCTTGTGCCACGCCTCCTGGAAGTTCCCAGGAGACTGCAGGAGCAAGGAGGGGGCCGACCGTCTGTCTCACTTTGCTGCAGCAAACTAAGCCGGACGTGGGAGCGGTTACCTGTCAAAACCACTCGCTCCCCCCCAAAAGATGCCAATTATGGCAGTGGAGAAGGGGAGGAGGCAAATAAGTGGAGCTTCCACTTTTGAGTGGAACTCCACTTTAAATGCTGTCTGTGCCGCTATTGAGGAGTTTTTTGATAGGTTTTGAAAGTTCTAAACCTTCCTTACAAAAAAAAGAGAAGGGTGCAGGATTGATTAACCAGTTCTGGACTGCCTGCAATGTACTGTAGATGAGCAGGCCGTGTAGGCACAAGCAATGTACCAGTATACCGCACCAACAAATCACTCACGGGCCCAGTGTCCTTCCAGAAGTGTTTGCAAATCCAGATTGGCAGCCCACAGATTCAGCACCACCAGTTATACCGCCATTCACAGCCTAACCCGGAATTTAGGTGGAAACAGCAAATTTAACAACTCCCCTTGATTTTTTTAGCTGCTTTTTCACTGAAGATCTGTATCAACTGATTGTGGAGCAAAGCAATTTATACGCACGACAGTACATGGCCACCAGCCCAAAGTGCCAGACAATTTGCATGAAAGCGTATAACGGTTTCAGAATTTAAAACTTTGTTGGGCCTAACCCTTAACATGGGCATTACAACTGGGGAGCAGTGGCAAGATAGTATGGGACTTGGTGTCATCTATGTTCCACAAGGGGTACCACTTGTATGTGGACAACTTCTATACAAGTGTGCCACTTTTTAGACACCTATACAATCTTGAAATTGGCTGCTGTGGCATTGTGCAACTTAATTTCTAGGGCTTCCCCCAACCGCTTGAAAACACCCGACTTAGAAAGGGGGAGAAAGCTTGCTTGAGTTATGACGAATTTCTTGCAGTGAAGTGTAAGGACAAAAGGGTTTTTTTTTGTCTGGTCTTTCACACAGATACGACGGTCCAAATTTTACACAGCATCTGGTGTTTTTGAGAAGCCTCTCTGTATCCACAAATATAACTTTAACATGAGAGGGGTGGACTTCAACAACCATATGATGAAGCCGTACTTAGTTTCTTGCAGAGTCAGACACTGGTACAAGGTGTATATATGTATTCATTTATTTTAATTGGCTATATACAATGATTTTGTAATTTACAAAGCAACTGGAAGAAGTGATTCCTTCCTAAAATTTCAGGAAGCGATCATCATGGCCCTTTTGTATCCAGAAGGTGCTGTGGCCCAAACCCCAATTTGAGATGCAGTGAGCATTTTCCTGATGTCCTCTCTGGTACCCCAGCCCAAAGATCACCTCAAAGAAGATGATATGTCTGTAGCAGACACGGAATAAGATGAGACACACATTTTTTCTGTCCCTCCTGTCCTGGCTATCCTGGCCTCTGCATCAAAGACTGTTACTGTTGCTACCTTGCTACCACACATTAGTGGAGTATTAGTCTAAGGCACAGTGCGGCACAGTTTAGGCCACACAATTCACATACAAGGGCCGTACAGGATGTTGGATAGTCAGGAAAATGTCTATCACATTTTGAGAGGCCCTAAAATCAAAGTCTAGAAAGTTTATGGCTCTGATAAGTTGCAAAAAAAGTAAAAAAAATGAAAAAAAGATAAATAAATGAATAAAAAAGTAGAATAAAAAGTTGTTTTATTGAGTTGTTATTTCACTATTGTGTGTGTTATTGTTAACCTTTGTTGCTTTGCAGGAATGCCAATCAGCTGCAGCTGATCTGCTTATTCTGATAGCAGCAGGGTGTTGCAGTCAGTGCTTTCTGCGCTGCAGGAGGAGATTTCTGATCCACACCAAACCAAGCATAAGGAGCCTGGGATGCTCAGTGGGAGGATTGCACCTATGCTTCTACATATATTTTTCAACCACATCGATTAATGTAAACGGAGAAACCTGTTAGGTTATTTTTTTTATTCAGCCCACAGGCTGCATGAAAAAAAGAACATTACATGTATGACCAACAAGGACCAGCAACATATAGGTAACTCGCTGAACTTTGAGTGGTTGTACCAGGATGATGCCTGCCTGATGATCCCAGTATTGTTTTCCTCAGCTGGTGGTTGGCTTTCTTGTAAAAGCAATCCTAGCCGCTGGATTGCTTTTCCATGGCATTCTTGGGCTCTCTGAATTGGGAAAGCATCCAATTACATCGATCTTAGTGTGATCAGATGCTGTTAAAAGGCAGAGGAGATGTCTGAGGTCTAATTGAAGTTTAATAGAATAGTATCTGTCACTGCCTATTGCTGTCACAGGGGATATTTACATTCCCTGTGATAACAATAAAAATAACGAAAAAAATAAAGAGAGTTTAAAAAACTTTTTTAAGAAAAGGCATTTCAGGGCCTCTGAAACTGTGATAGGTAGTGAGGAAACAACTTGAAGAAATACGCCCTTTGAAAGCCTAAAGGTGGTAATTGGATTTTGCGGGCCTGTACGTGGATAGGTCCCAAAAAGTCTCACTCGTGTTATCCCCATAATTGGGAGAAGGAGCAAAATGTGTTTTGGGGTGCAATTCCACATATACCCATGGCATGTGTGAGAAATATCTTAACAAAGTGACAACTTTGTGTAAAAAAAAAGGATTTTTTTTTCGTCATTTTTAAAAACCTGGGACAAGAAATAAAGTTTCCCATGGGCTCAACATGGCTCTCAGCAAATTCCTTGGGCTGTCTACTTTCCAAAAAGGGGGTCATTTGCGGGGGGGGGGGGGGGGGGTACTGCCCTGGAACTTTAGCACCTCAAGAAATGTGATAAGCAGAAAGTAAAAGTTGTGTGAATTCCAGTACATATACTGTAATTTGTAGACACTATAACTTTCACAGAAACCAATTAATATACATATATTGGGATTTTTTTTTTTACCAAAGTCATTGAGTCAGAATACATTTTGGCTTAAATGTATGAAAAAAAATTATTTTATTGGTTATGTTTTAAAACATACAGTAGAAACAGTTTTGTTTTTTTTTTTTTTTTGCAAAATTTTCAGTTTTTTTCCATTTATATAGCAAAAATTAAAAAGCTCAGTGGTGATCAAATACCACCAAAAGAAATCTCTATTTGTGTGAAAAAAATTATATAAATTTAATTTGCGCAGTGTTGAATGCCTGCACAATTGCCAGTTAAATTAGCATACTGCTAAATGGCAAAAAATGGCGTGGTCATGAAGGGAGTAAAACCTAGATATGTGCATATGTGCACGCTGGAAATTTTAATTTTGTTTTGGATGCATTCATTCATTGAAGACATTTGTTTTGTCATATTCACTATGTTGAACTAATTCCTCTTCAGAATGTGTTTGTATCGTTTGTTTTATATATTCTTTGGTCTGGGTGGATTTGAAAAGTGTTGCAGTTTTTCCAGAAGATTGCTATATTTTTGATAGATTATCAAATCATATGGATTTGAAATGGATGGATTCAGTATTTTCAGACTCTAGTCCAACCCAACAAGAGAATGGCATGTGCTGATTGGACAATATTGACTGGCATTATGTGCATCCAAATTAACTAATAGAATGAAATTTCAATCCATTTGTTATCCAAATCTAAATTATTGAAGGAATTTGAAAATTAAATTAATTTCCCCATGGGCCCAAACTACTATTGCATCATGTGACATCATTTGAATGAAACAAATATAACAAATGAATTTGTTAATTTCATTATAAATTCTTTTCAGATTAGTTGACATCTGAATCTTTGGAAATTAAATTTTCATCCAAAAAATGGATTCTAACAAAACACATGTCTACTAAAACCTCCCAGAAGTCAAGTGGTTAAAAACATACAGTAGTTTTTAACCACTAGCCTACAGGGCACTTATACCCCCTTCCTGCCCAGGCCAATTTCCAGCTTTCGACGCTGTCACACTTTGAATGACAATTGCACGGTCATGCAACATTGTACCCATATGAAATTTTTATCATTTTTTTGAGACAGATAGAGCTTTCTTTTGGTGGTATTTACTCACCTCTGGGATTTTTATTTTTTCCTAAACAAACCAAAAACCACTGAAATTTTTGAAAAAAAAGTTTTTTCTTAGTTTTTGTTATACAATTTTGTAAATAAGTGATTTTTCTCCTTCACTGATGTGCGCTAATGAGGCTGCAGTGATGGGCACTGATAGGTGGCATTGATGGGCACTGATGAGGAGGCACTGATAGGTTGCACTGATGGGCATTGACAGGCATCACTGATGGGCACTGAAAGGCAGCACTGATACATGACACTGATACATAACACTAATACATGACACTGATATATGGCACTGATAGGCAGCACTGACTGGCACTGATAGACAGCACTGACTGGCACTGTTAGGCAGCACTGACGGGCACTGTTAGGCAGCACTGACTGGCACTGATAGGCAGCACTGACTGGCACTGACAGGCACTGATAGGTGACACTGATTGGCACTGATTGGCAGCACTGATAGGTGGCACTGATTGACATTGATAGGTGGCACTGACTGGCACTGATAGGTGACATTGAAAGGCAGCTCAGATGGGCACTGATATGTGGCATTGATGTGCACTGGTATGCACTGATATGTGGCATTGATGTGGCACTGATGGGCACTGGCACGTGGCACTGATGGGCACTGGCACGTGGCACTGATGAGCACTGACAGGTGGCACTTCTGGGGCCACACTGATCATCAGGGCACACTGATCATCAGTGCCCTGATGATCAGTGTACATGCCCCCCTCCGCGGAAAGCCGATTACCGGCTCTCCTCTCCTCTCGAGCTGTCAGCATGACAGCTCGAGAGGAGAGAAATGCCGATAACCATGTGTACATGTGATCAGCTGTGATTGGATATAGATGATTACATGACCGATCCGACATCTTCAGCTCTTTCCCTCGGACACAGCGGACCGGCGATCACCGCGCTGCGTACTCCCTGAGCCGCGCATGCGTAGTGAGAATGGTAGGACGTCATATGACGTCCTATCAGAACGAGAGAACCACCTTGCGCCCGTCATTGTACTATATGGCGGGCGGAAGGTGGTTAAACTAAGACATAAGTCTGCATGGTGCTGAAAGACCTTCATTGGCAAGTAATCATTGCCTGGGACCTTATGATTGGGGAATCCAGTGACAGTCTTCTCTAATTTTTCTATCATGAAAGGTGCATCAAGTAAGTCTTTGTGGGTTTCAGTCAGTTTTGGTATATTAATTTTTCTTATGTAAGCAATAAAATGTACTGAAGGGGTGGGCAGAGCACAACTCTCTTCTATAAGTTAATAGATATACATAAAATACATTAAACAAAACACTGACTGCTGATAAAAGTTCACCAGGTGACTCAAGTGCTCAATAATCGTGCGTCTTCCTGGACCCGATGGATGTGCATATAGGTGTATAAGCAATGCGCACTCACCAGAAACGTATGTAAATGCGCGTTTAATAATTATATGATGTCATCAAATTGTCATCATGGGATGATGGGAGGAATCCTAAGCCTTTCCTCTATGGGTGGATGGATGGAACTGACACTCCCCTCAGACAACGTGCAGGTGCACGAAACGCGTAAGATGGAGCCAGTAACGCCGTTGACGTCACGCCACCAGAGCAACGAGGTGCTATGGCGGCCATCTTTTAGCTCTGGACGGTTAGTCCACATGGTTTTACATGCCCTGCTGTTTGTTTTAAAAACCTGGATTTTGTGCAATAAATGTTTACAAAGTTACTACACTATGGGCATCCTTTTGCTTTGACTCCCTCGAGGAGTTTTTGATTCACAGCTGTCTTGACATCCAGAGAGGGAGCCTCCACTAGATACAGAGGACTGCACCCACCTATCCCATAACAGGGAACTCTGGAAGACCTTGATACCAGTTAATCCATACCTCAGAATCCATCCACCCATAGAGGAAAGGCTTAGCATTCCTGCCATCATCCCATGATGACCATTTGATGACATCATATAATTATTAAACGGGCATTTACATGCGCTTTCTGGTGAGTGCGCATTGCTTATACACCTGTATGCACATCTACTGGGTCCAGGAAGATGCACGATTATTGAGTCATCTGATGAACTTTTATCAGCAATCAGTGTTTTTTTTAATGTATTTTATGTATATCTACATAATTTAACTTAACTTATAGAATATTTCTTTGATCTTAGCACCGTACATTATTCTGTTTCATTTATTGGAGGTTTTGCTTGGTTACCTTGTGCTTGGCTGCTTTTAAAGTATCTTTAGGCGCTCACATTTACCCTTATTCTCTACAGAGCACAACTCTCTGCTCTGTGAGGACCGAGAACTTATCTGCGGCCATTAATCACTTAGTCCTCAATGTAGAACCATCGGGACAGCTTCAGCATTGGATCAATGCTGCAGCCATCTAGGTGAGTATGTAAGTTTGTTGTTTTACATTCCTGCTTCCTACTTCTCTTTTAAAGAACTGCTGGAGGTCACACACTGATACTTACTGTAAATCTTCTATCAACCAATTATTGAAATGCTCTTGAGGTATGTGTGTATGTCTGTATCAGTATGGTTAGAAACATTCAATTAAATACTGCCTTGAAAATAGGGATTGAGGTAAATGTACTAGTTTTACATGTAAGGTATTGTGGAATGTAGCAATATTATATACAGAAATATAATACATCAATTACACAAAGCCTGATTTGTAGTGTTAAGTTACAAAATATGTTCTTTTAAAAGGTTTGTATCTATTTATTTTGGGAAAAAGGAGTTTGGATAAGTACGATTTTTTTTTTTAAACTATCCCTGAACAATGTTGCCATATTGGTAAGTTTTTTATTTAAATTCAGCACGAGCAATGATGGTACATTTCAATACAATAAAAAAGCTCTGTATTAGCAAAATACAAGTAAAGGTTATCAACTTACTGGTGGTCCAGGCATTCCAGGTTCTCCATCTTTACCATGCTTCCTCGATGGGCCCTCATTTCCAGGGCCAGAGCCTGGCTTTCCTGGCAATCCTGGTGGTCCTGGAGGCCCAAGTGGCCCTGGCAGACCAGGCAAGCACTTTTGAGAAAAAAAGTTGCAATTAATGCAATCACCTAAATTAATATATTAATATTTTGTACTGAATTCTTATTTAAAGTAAACCTCTACAATGCAGCCTCCTTTTAGAATTAAAAAAGGTGATTTTTTCCATTTCTGATGCATGTAAACATATTGGTACCTTCATTATCTGCTCAATCAACTGTTTTAAACACATGTTTTCTCCCCTACTTAAAAAGCATAAAATAATAAGGCTAATGTGGGTCTGTTTTTTGGAACAAGCACAGGTCCAGAAAAAATACCAGTACTAAACCAATATCAATAAACCAATACAAATATTACTCTGCACTAATGTAATCAGAAAAACATCAAAGGAATATCACAAAATATTATATAAGCCAACGTAAAAATTGTGTAACCAATGTCATGGTCAAGATAGCTGCTTCCAGTAGTGTCCACAAACAGATTCTTCAAACATGTATACAAAAATAAATGTGTAGCACTATCCCTTTAAGAATAGTGAATATAATACACATACAATAGTAAATGAAATGCAAACAAACTCAGTGCAAAATCCAAACACAATCTCAGTATAAACTTAAATTGGATCTAAAGGCTCAAGGTTTTTTATCTTCATGCATTATATGCATGAAGGTAAAAAACCTTCTGTGTGCAGCATCCCCCAGCCCCCCCCCCCCCCCAATACTCACCTAAGCCCCAACTCGATCCAACAATGTGCACTGGAGTTTCGGCTATCCCAGGTCACCCTCTTCTCATTAGCTAAGACAGAAGTGGGAGCCCTTGGCTCCCACTGCTGTCAATCACAGCCAGTGAGTCAATGAGAAGAGAAAGGGGGCGGGGCCTAGCCACGGCTTCGTATGTGAATGGACACACGGAGCAGCGGGTGCCCTCATAGCAAGCTACTTGCTGTTGGGGCACCCAACAGGAAGGAGGGGCCAGTAGAGCCTGCGGGGGACCTGAGAAGAGGAGGATCCAGGCTGCTGTGTGCAAAACCACTGTACACAGCAGGTGAGTATAGACATGTTTGTAATTTTTTCTTAAAAAAAAAACAAAAAAACCTTTAGAATCACGTTAAGTCTTTGCCATGATTGTGAAATATTATATAAAAGTCTGCTAGAATTATATAATGTGTAATAATGACTTATTTGTAACCACACAAGTTCTCTGACACCCAGGGACTCACCATCGGGGGGACACCATCTCTACCACAACTAAAAATACGCCTCTTGCCGAATCCAAAGATGCCTCATTGTGGAGGTCACAGGTGCTCTTTCATTATATTAAGCAGATGGTAGGCAGCAAGGGAATCACTTCAACAGCCCCAGGCTATTCCTCTTAAATTTCAGGAAGACTCATGTTTTATGTATTACGATAGCCCCCTTGATGGTTGATATATGCCACTGTGGAGTCACTGTCTGACTTTCATGGAATTGGGTATCTCTTAGAAAGGGAGGGGGTCCACTGTTAGAGGGACAGCCTGACAGCTCTGGACTCCAAGATCTTAACAGGGAGTTTGGCCTCTTCCCTTGACCATGTTCCTTGCACCATCACAGATTGGAAGAAACCTCCCCAGCCTGACAGACTTGCATCTGTTGTAAGAGCCTTCCAATTGGAAGGCATGAAGAGTTTTCTCACTATCCGAGTTGAAGTGGTGATCCACCTGGACAAGGACTTTCTTGTTTGGTAGAATGCTGAGTAGGGGAGTTCTTGAGTGTGGATTCACACATGTGCAGTGCGAAATGAAGCTCTGTTTTCACAGCTAATTGACAAAGTAGTTGTTCAGCGTTTCAGGTCAGGTTTACTTGAGTATCATTAAAAATAGCAGCATGACAAGTGCAATACTGCTCACACAGAGTGGTTATTAGAAAATCCAAGCGGAGTAATATAATTATTAATGTACAAAAAAGTTTTATTCGATCACATGGATCATAAAGAGGTTAGACAGAGACATGGTAAACAGGTCATTATAAAATCACTAAGTTAAAAAAATTCGGCGTCTCCAGATCTAATAGTTATTCGGCAATCAGGAATCCACATAAGGCAATGACGTTCCTAACTACTTGATCAAAGAATTTTCATATTTTCCATATGATATCTGCATAGGGAGGTCACTCTTCAAAAAAATATTTTTGGTGACCACCGCAGTGGATTGAATGACTTCCTAAAATGGAAAAACCAAAGAAGAAAGGATCATAGTAGAGGGAACAAAAAATAGGATATATGCACTAACCAAATGTAATAACACAGTAACCCCATGTTAGGTATATATGTTATTCCATTACCTTTAAAGTCTGCGGTGATTGGTGAACGAAACGCGTCAACATGATGACATCATTACGCTCAGCGTCTCCATAGGGCGCGGTACCCACGAGGAAGGAAGAAACGGTTTGCTTCTGCTCCACACAGGAAAGGCAGGAGACACTCAAATTATGAGGACATCATCCTAAGCAGCCCACACATGGCAATTCTGAGTCACAGCCTACTTCCACCGGTGGCAAGTTTGTAGCCGTTTGGCTAACTTAGGCTTTAGTGTTATCTTTATATACGGGTAATATACCCTAATTTTTTGGAAATCCTGTGCCTAATAACCTCATTTTTGGGGGAATATTTTGAACTCCTATTGGAGGAATACGTATACAATACGCTATATATGTGTTGTGGCATGCAAAAACAGTCTCATATATATTTTTTTAAGGAACCGCACTACTTCCTCACTATTGAGCAATTTTTGGAAACCCTGATTTGGGTCTATATATCTAAATATACATAGACTGTATCAACCAGTCTGGACTTCATACACTGACCACCTGGCTTCTCACCCCCATATTCACTCTTTCATCCAGACCTGATCTCTATTTTCAAGTGAGGAGGAGTCCCCTTGATCTTCTATATGGTAATATTCAGAGATTTTTACCCTTATTTTAGTTTCATTCAGGTTTGC